GCCAACTGACTTATTTCCTAGGGCTGCAAGTCAAACAAAGTTCTGAAGGGTACTTTATCTCACAGGAAAAAAATGCTAAGAATTTGGTCAAGAAGTTTGATATGGATTCATGTAAACCATCCAGGATACCTATTTCTACCTCCACGAAAGTATCAAAAGATGACACGGGTGCATCAGTGGATAACACAGACTACCGGAGTCTGATAGGAAGTCTGCTGTATCTAACTGCTAGTCGGCCAGACATAATGTTCAAAGTTGGAATATGTGAAAGGTATCAATCTGATCCAAAAGAATCACACCTGATAGCTGCTAAACGGATTTTGAAATACATAAAAGGAACAATTCAATACGGTCTCTGGTACTCCAAGAACAGTGAACTGAGTCTGGTTGCATACTGTGATGCTGACTGGGCAGGAAATATTGATGACCGAAAGAGTACTTCTAGAGGATGCCTCTTTGTTGGTAAGAACTTGGTATCGTGGCTGAGTAAAAAACAGAATTCATTTTCCTTAAGTACTGCGGAGGCAGAATACATAGCTGCTGGTGGATGTTGTACTCAGTTAGTATGGATGAAACAGATGCTTTTAGACTATGGTCTTACTCAAGGAATTATGACACTCTATTGTGATAATGTCAGTGCAATCAATATCTCGAAGAATCCAGTTCAACATTCTAGAACGAAGCATATTGATATAAGGCATCACTACATCAGAGACTTGGTAGAGTCTAAGGAGATTGAGTTGGAATACGTTCAAACAGATAAGCAATTGGCTGACATTCTGACTAAGCCCCTAGATGCAAATCAGTTTGAGATTCTCAGGTCTACTCTGGGAATCGGCAGGATTGATTAATAAGGCAGTAAGTTATACAGAAGGAGAGTATATGGTATTAATTTTACGGGTCAATTTCCAGCTTTGACTTCTTTTTAAAACTCTCTAGCTCACAGCTCACCTCCAAATATGTCATCTTGCATCGTCTTTCTCTTCACAATTGGCTTCCATAGGCTCATTTTCATACGGTCGGCAAGCAATTGGTAGGTCTCTTGTGTCGGATTGGAACAAAAATGGCTATTGATTTGGGGGCCTGGATCTATTGTCATATTCTCACTTTGATCCATCCTCGTGAGCAGAAGGTAAGGTTGCCCTTCCCTAATCTGATCTTTGGAGTTCTAACAACGCAGGGCCTTGAGCCAATGCCTAGTGAGGTGATCAGTCCGACTCTGTTGTATACTGTTGATCCTCGTTTTCTGACTGGAGGTCACATCCGAGATGTTACGCCAGTGATTGCTCCTTCCACGGCTGATGCTGATACAGTGGCTGATGATTCGCCACATGCGAAAGATGTCCAACTCTCTCTCCGTCTAAAGGCCCGGGTTTCTGAACTTGAGGCTGTTCATGGCATCATTTCGAAGCAGCTGACAGGAGCCCGTACTGAGTTGGCTACCGTTCTTCTCCGCTTAAGCTTGACTGAATCTACTGCTGCTGATGCTGCTAAGTCTGACAGTGAGAACCCCTCCAATGCTTGACTGTGCTTTGACTATCATTGGCAAAAAGGGGGAGTGTGGAACTCAGGGGGAGTATTTTTGAAGTTTTTGAAGTTTTTGTACCTTCTGGCCCTGTCTGGGTGACTGATTATGATGACACCACTCTACGAAGAATGTTGTTTTTGTTCCAGCATGACTTGTATGCTGTGTTTCTGTTATGCTTTGTAATCAGACTTTTGACCTTTTATGCATTTACTTTCTTATTCCTATCTAGTTTGTGTTTTTATAAGTAGTCGAGTTGTTTTGCCAAATAATAGCCAAAGGGGGAGTTTGTTAGTGTTTTAATTACTCAAAAAACCCCAACATATAATTGGCAATATTATTATAGCAAACTAAGATAGGGTTAGCTTTGTGTCGGTTTGTTCTATAGAGGACTGATTGATCAGATACAGCAATAGCGGGACTGACACTAAATATCTGTTTTACGAAGATGTTTCGTCTTTGCAGAACGCGGTGTAAAAAGTCTGTTTTGGAAAGAAGATCAGCGTATCTGCTTTGGAAAGGTATGGACCGGATCTTTAAGATTACATTCTTCTTATATCGTCCTACCATCTACAATCAGAGGTATATATGGAGAGTGTTCTTATTATGGAACTATAAGTACTCTTATTCGATCAAGAACTAGGGTTACGCTTTTGAGAATAAAGAAACACTCAGACATATACTAAGAGATTACATCTCTGATTATCATGACCCTTCTCAAAGACAATTTGTTCTTGTTGATTATGATGAACAACTTGAGAAGAGATATCGTTGCTTAAACGAAAAGGACGCTAAGATCACACAGTTGTGGGAACAACGTTGGACTGCGTTATTGAAGTGGATTGCATCAGAGTTAGCTCTCCATGTGAAGGGATTTCATTGGACTTCTGTATGCACGACTCTCCATCTTCAACAATCCACTAAGTCAGTGTAAACTGGGTACTTACCTTGTGTGTGGCACTTGGGTGAGATTACTGTTCTCTACCTTTGTACATTTGATGATTTGTTAGTGGATTTGACGCCTATGTGATCGTCCCCCAGATGTAGATGCACACTGTATCGAACTGGGTAAACATCTTGTGTGTTGTTCCTTTCGCTGTCTTCCTTAGTTTTATCTTTCCGCAAGTTATTTAGTGTTTCAGCTATCTGACTGATATCATCGCTGAATCTGTTAGACTAATTCGTCAGTCTTCTAATTAATATCATTAAATTGAGAGAATGCAAAATTACATGGCCTAAATGTAAAAAATTATCAAAATGCCACCGCATTGTTTATTTAATTTTTGTAATCTAAACGTTGATTTAAGCAAAATCAATGGTCCTTCTTTCACCGCACAACCGCACTTGGCACTCTCAATCGCACAGGAACCCTTTCGATATATATATATATATATATATATATATATATATATATATATATTGAAACACTCATGCTTCTTAACAAAGTAATATCTGTATTATACTTTCTCAATCTTTTTCAACCAAATAATCATGTCCCAACTATCGAGATTCAATTGTGTGACTACTCATTTGGAATAATAACAAATGTGTCATCACACTACATAGTACGTAATTGGCAATCCATTAATTAATATTTTTAAATCAACTAAATTTAGTCTTTAATTTTTATTTTTTTTTTGAAATGCTCTTACTTTTTGGACATTTCACTAAACTTTACACTTTTACAGGCAATTAAGAACATTTTAAATTGTACTTCATCACATAAAATTTTTTTTTAAAAATAAAAAGTATAATTAAATTAATATATATCGAGGCTGCCTCACATGGAGGAGGTTTGGAGGATAGGTGACATGCCCAACATGTCCCCATAGGCACATGCTGTGTGCTATGGTTGGCCCTTTTGATAGTGCTCTATGTTATAATAAAGCTCAGCACATGCTTTCAATTTATTCATTTTAATTTTTTGATTATATATATGTGTGTATGTATATGAATGTATGTATACATGCATGCATGTATATATCTCTATGTCTTATCTCATTATTGATAATTACTATTCCAATAAAGTGTTCTGCGACATTAAGAAGAATATTACTCTTGTGGGGTTAGTTTCAACTAGTGTATGCTTAGGTGCATATAATACAAGAACATAATCAAATATTATCTTGAAAACAGTAATATTTGAAAATATAATCATATTTTACTAAATGCATAATTTTTAGTGGTAATCGCAATATTGATTAGACGATTCATATCCATTGGTTATACTTTTTAAATTTACTTTACGAGTTTGACATCGACTAATTGTGTTTAAGGAAAAATGTAATTTTGGTTCCCGCTCTGAATCGTAACCAAAACCTTTCGGTTCAATTTTTACAGTGACTGGTTTAATTCGAACTGATCGGTTCTAATCGAACTGTGGTCATTATTCAGTATATCCTTAGCAATGTTTTGTTGGAGATGGAAAAATAACTGAAATACTTATTCTTATGGGAAAAAAATGTCTATTTAATATAAAAAGGGAAAAATGACTATCTTTAAAATAATTGACGAGCTAATGTAGATACATGAATAATTTAGGGAGAAAAAAGTGTTATAAGCATATAATCCAGAAAAAAAGTGTCAATTTCCCCTTAAATTTATTTTTATATTATTTAATTTTATACTCTATCTATCTCATTTTATGTACCTGATTCGGTTAATGAGACTTGACTGAAATTATTTTTAATTCACTTTTTCATAATATTAAATTTAATATTAATTAGTATATAAAATTTATATATTTAGAAATTATATTAAAATTAAAGTACTATTAAACAAAAAATATGAAATTTAAAATTAAATACAAATTACTAAAAAAAAAAACAAAATAGTAGAATTTATTTGTATAATGAATAATATAAATGAGTAATTATATTAGTAAAAGCAAATAATGATGGAGGGGGAAATGGATGTTGGATGTTAATCACTATTTTGGTCACTCAATTGTTTCTAAAGTGTCAATGTATTCCTTAGATTTTCAACTTCAACTAATTTGATTCTCGAATTGTTTAAAATTTCGTCAATTAAATCCTTTTAAGGATCAAATTAAAATGGTGATTTTCACATTTTTTAAATTCCATCATTTTGGTTCATGAAAGGGTTTAATGGATTTAATTTTTAAAAATTTGAGAATCAAATTAGTTGAAATTGAAAATTGTAAACTATACATTGACAATTGAACAAGAATTAAAGGATCAAAATATTGATTTCCCACAAAAACAATGATGATTGTGTGCACAGTAGTGTGGAGCCATTGGCTAAACAAAAAGAAAGAAATACAAACCAAACCCCAACTTCTTGTGTCTACTATCATGAACAAATTTGCGTCATTCATTACATAATTTTTCCGACAAAACCGGGGCTATCCAGCCTATCGCACCCTCCACGTGGAATGATTTCCACCGTTGGAAACCTTAAGCCCAACACAACCCTTCCCCCTATATCATCATGCCATGAACATCCTCAACAAGCCCTCTTCTCTTCTTATCTCCCAACTCTCTCTCTCTCTCCTCCTCCTCCTACTCTCTCTCTAGACAAAAACATCATACAAAATTCAGAAAAAAAGCCCCAAAGTTCTTAAAGGATCGTGTTTTGCGAGATTTTGGACGTAAGCTTTGTGCAAAAAGAAAAATGTTGAATTTTGAAGCGACGGAGCTCCGGCTAGGATTGCCTGGCGGCGGTGGTGGAAATGACGGCGAAGCGGTGAAGAGCAACGGGAAGAGAGCTTTCTCCGACACCGTTGACTTGAAGCTTAAGCTATCTTCGAAGGAATCCAACGTTGATCAAGTTGAGAACTTGAAAGACAACAATAATAATGTTGTCACAAGTCCTAGTGATTCAACTAAGCCACCAGCCAAGTAAGTATACATATCTGCCCGGTAGCTCAGTTGGTTCCTGCTGATAGATTATAGTTTTGTATCTAGGCTTGCGTTAATATGAAAATTATGTCTTAATGAGAATCTGCAAACTACTGCATGAGTACACACAATTTACTACATAAATGTACACACTCTACTCTCCAGCATGTGTGGATGACGGTGAATACCCTAGAGTAGTTGTCTGTGCATTCGTGTAACAAATTGTGTGCACTCATTTAGTTCTCACGTTTTCACTGACATGATTCTCATTTGATCTTCAATCTTTGTATCTATATCTCTATACACATTATTGGTTATCTAACTGCTTTCTTTGAGTATATTGTGCTTTAGTGGTAATTGGTAAACCTTATTACATGTTTAAATATTTGTCAACATTTTATATATTAATATGGAATTTTGATACATCTAAAGATCAAAACGAGATTAAATTTGTTATATCTTATTTAAATTCATAGGTTTTACATATTATTCTCGACCATAAGGCTTTCATGTCTCCTAGATACGTTGATTTTGTACATCCATGCAAAAAGAAAAAAGGACTAATTTTCGTCAATTATACAAACGTAATAATAATAATAATAATAATTATTTATTTAAAATACGATATAATGTTCTATATTACGAGGAAAGCTTGCTTGATGTTTATATGTGCCAGTGGATTGATAACGTGAGGCTGCAATTCATTGTCCTGAGAAGAAAAAAACAAAACATTTGGAATCTTTGCAATAAATTGTCTTCTAACGAAAATGGAAGAATACAAAACATTTGGAATCTGTACTTTTAAGATATCAGTATTTTGAATTATTACTTTGTTTTTCATAATAACTTTTTTATTTGTGGATTTTATAAATGAAATTCAGTTAATATAATAATTTTTTTTTTAAATTTGAGATAGATCTGGAAATATTTTTATTGTAGTTTTTGTCTAATTAAAAAAACTGGTGTTGTTTAGAGCACAAGTAGTGGGTTGGCCACCGGTGAGATCATACCGGAAAAACATCCTGAGTGGACAGAAGGCGGCCGGCGAGAGCTCCGGCGGTGGTGCCGCCCTAGTCAAAGTTAGCGTTGACGGTGCGCCCTACTTGCGTAAAGTGGACTTAAAGATGTACAAAAGCTACCATGAACTTTCTGAAGCTTTGGGCAAAATGTTCAGCTCTTTCACCATTGGTAACACACCTATACTCCACCGTTTGGTCCTTATATTTATGATTTAAAAAGTAATAGAATTGTGGCTTAGATTAATGGTTTAGTAGACAGTATTTCACGTGACACAATTAATTAAATTACTAAATTAATTAATTATAATGCTATAAATAAGAAAATTACTTTTTAATAAATATTATTAATTGGGTTTTCTATTGTGCAGGGAATTGTGGGACTCATGGATTTAAGGATTTCATGAACGAGAGCAAATTGATAGATCTATTAAATGGTTCAGACTATGTTCCAACTTATGAAGATAAAGATGGAGATTGGATGCTTGTCGGTGATGTTCCATGGAAGTAAGTTTATATTTAAATTATATATATATATATATATATATATATATATATATATATATATATAGAGAGAGAGAGAGAGAGATTAATAATGCCTAGTTCTATATTTCGTGCACACATATATGACTAACTTTTTCTTAAATTTTTTAAATTTCTTGTAGCATGTTTGTTGATTCATGCAAGCGCTTGCGAATAATGAAAGGATCAGAAGCCATTGGACTAGGTAATCTTAAATTTGCATTAAAGAAAAAAATTTATTTTATTAAACAAATTTTATGATATTATACGTGACAGTTGTCATAGTACATGTACTTTTTATTTGAAAAAGTTATACTCTACTTCAAAATTATATTACAGTAAGATACTGTTACGTATGAGATTGTAAAATTTTATTAATTTATATATTATGTTTAGTTTTGATCTAATATTTAATCATTCACATATTTGCAGCACCAAGGGCAGTAGAGAAATGCAAGAACAGAAGTTGAATTGCTATTTGTAATTGCATTTTTTTCCCTTTTTTTTTTAAATCTGTTTTTTGATTGTAATGATCTCAACTATGAGCATCAACCTTAATTGTGTTTGTAATTATGTTTTAAAATATATGTATACATATCTATTACATAAAATATGAGATGAGAGGTCTGCATTATTCTGTGTGCCCCCCACAGTTTCTGTGGTACGTGTTTTCCCTAGAAATCATAGTTGTCTTGTTTAATATGCTACAAGAGTAGTTTAATGAGACAATCTTGTTTTAATTATTTGGATAAAAAATAAATAGATTTTTGGGGAATATTAAATTAATTATAATTGAGAAGAATAAATCAGTATAACATTTATCTAGATAGTAATCAACTTTTTTTTGTTTATCCCGAAAGGAGTAATATTATAGTTCTTTCAGTTTACTTTTTTTTCTTATTATTTTTACATCATTTCCTTCTTTTTTTGGTCTATATATATTTAATACTCGTTTATTCTTATTTTCTTCCAATAAAATCAAAATATGTAGTACAAGTTTGGTCCATCTGAGTATGCTTATCTTCATCCGGCAGCAAAAACAGACTCTAACATGACACATTATAATTTATCTTCATTGTGTGGGTCCAAAAAAAAAATGTTTGTATCAAAAATTTGTACAAAAAAATAAATTTTAAAGACTCATTGATAATTAGTTATTTGCTCATTAAAAAGATTCTTAATTTAGTAATAATTAATTATAACACGTTTAGGTCAAAGCGCGCGCGCACACACACACACATATATATATATATATATATATATATATATATATATATATAAACATATTCAATGTAATAACCAGCTGGTGTTTTATATAAATTAAATTAATAATGGATGATTTTATTAAAAATGATAATTGGGGACTGATTAATGAGTGTATGTGCAATTATGTTATCCGGTGGATGGGGGACAAGTAACATGATTCTTAGAAGTTAGTGGGGGGGACAAGGGCATGTGGATGTTAGTGTAAGAACAACTTTAGTGGGTCACACAATTCCCTCATCAAATACTAAATTATTTTCTAGTTGTCAATGAGCTCATATTGCTTCAAGTCCTCCTATATGTAATCAATTGTTTCTTGATCCTTCACTTGGACGGCACATAAGGCCATAAGGAACAAATATAAATAATACATTTTTTTTAGAGTTAATACTATCTATGGTCCTCCGAATATAATAGTTTTGTCGTGTTTAGTTCTAAACTTTCAAATTAATCATCTATAATCTTTCGACTTTTAAATTGTTATCATCCGTAGTCCAAGTTAATTATTCATGGTCATTCAACTATCAATTTTTAACCATCCATGTATGGTCCTTCCAAAAGGACCACAACTGGTTAAATTTTGAAAGTTGAACGACTATGGATGGTTAACTTGTACCACGAATGATAACAATTTGAAAGTTTAAGGACCATGTATGGTCAATTTGAAACTTTAAAACTAAACGTGACAAAATCACTACACTCGAAAGATCGCATATGACATTAACTCCAATTTTTTTTTATTATAGTTTTATATAGTTGATGTTATCACATCTGTGCTTCTTTTTATAGTTATTTTGAATCATCTCAGTAACTAAGTTCTGTAATTTTGTTTATTTAATACATGTTTTCCTTGTTATTCTCATTAGGATATGATTTTACACTCGTTTTGAATGTTTTACGGTGTTTGTTAGTGTTTTTTGAACCATTTTAGGTCAAAGTTAAAAGCAAGGAAAGTTCTAGGACGAGTTTGGAGCCAAAACAAAGTCAAGGTGAAACTAAGGAGGTGGCTAAAATTCTTCAAAGAGAGCCAAAGAGTAGTACTTTCAATGGATTTGATCACAAGAATCAAACAAGGGAAAAAAGTGGATCAAAAGACCGAAGAGTTGCAATTCCCGTTGAATTCGGCGACAGCTTAGTATTTTGATCATATCTCATGCTAGGAATGTCCGATTCAGGTGATTCTTGCGTCATTGGAAAGAAGACTCGAAGGGCTACAACATATGACACAGAAGAAATCTAGAAGCATCGAGCCCCAGGCTCGACGCGTCGAAAATTTCCAGTAACGTTTCATCTCTCACAGATTGGCGACAGTTTAGTATTTTGATCATATCTCATGCTAGGAATGTCCGATTGAGTTGATTCTTGCGCCATTGGAAAGAAGCCTCGAAGGGCTACAACTCTTATGAAGATTTCAAAGTCTAGATAATAAGAGAAAATGGTCAAAATAAACGTGCAAACCGTACCTATTACACTGGGCGCGATTTTTAGAAACTTCCTAATTTAAAATGGCAATTCCCAATTCAAACTTCATATTCCAAATTCAATTCAAGCAAAGTGGCGGGAACTTCCAAATTAAATTAGGAAAATTTCTATTTCGTTCCAGCTTTGTACCTATTATAAAATCCCACATTCCTCAACACTAAAAGACAAGTAGTTTAGTTTAGAGTAAATAATTAGGCAGAACCCCGGGGCGGAGGGAAATGCCGTGAATGATGCACGGGCATTGGAAATCGTAGGGTATCCCGAAGTCGATGATGTGGATCTTCTCGGCTTCTCTGGTTAGTTTCGCGATTGATTTGTTAGCGTATATGTTAGACATCCGCTTGAAGGGACATGCAGTTATGTATGTCTGATCTGATAAGCTTTGAGATACTCTGCCGCCGACATTCTCATCCTGGTTATGCTGGCGTACAATGATGTTCCGGTGCCGGCCGCGCGTGCCTCCAAGGCGTTCGCAAAGAAGTGGGCGAGTAGTTCGGTGGCGTCGTCGTACTGGGAGGAGTGTTGCCGGATAGCTGCGAGGCAGTGGTCGAAGTTCTTCTTGTCATGGGCGGCCTTGGCTTGGGCGCAGCGAGCGAGAAGATCGGTGAGGTCGACGATCTGCTTGGGCTTGGCGCCTTTCTTGCTACCGCGTGGCCATCCTCGATTCGGGCGCTGCAAGTATTTCTTATCACGCGCTTCGCTTTCCGATGATTCGTCGAAAATATGGGGGATTGAATCGTCGTAGAATAAAGGATTCATGGAAGGACACAACAGCTCCATGTCGTACTTCTCCGTTTTCTTCGGCTCTTGGTCGGAATTCCCAATCGCCATCTGCTTGCTCGTCTGCCCTTCTCCGTGGTATTCCCGGTTGCGATTCCACCTCTTATCTAGACTGCTTCTATTGCTTCCTTCTATGTTTCTTATGGAGTTAAAACAATTTTGTGTAGACATAAATTTTACCTGAATTTCAAAATCAACCACCTAAACTTGATGACCCTTGAACTCTAATTCTTGAGTCAATGATTGATGAGAGACTTATGAACAATGAGAAAACTAGGGTTTTATTTATTTGGGAGGGAAGGAAATGGTCACAAAGAGAGGATATGAGATGTGGACAAATATGATAGAACTAGGGTTAACTCATACAGAATATTTATAAAGAGAAATATAATTAGGTAGGTTAGGGTTAGAGATATTATTGTATATAAGACGATCGTAACAATTATATAAATACGTATAAATGAAAGGAGGATGTTTCATAGGCTTACACGTGTATATATATATATATATATATATATATATATATATATATATATATTTCGGATCAGGTGAGGACCTATCCTTAGGTGAGGACGTGAAGACTAATCTGATCCTTTCATTTAATTAAGCCAACGACTCTGATTTAATTATATGCAATGAATTTAATTTTTTCGTACTCAGTTTGTTGTGCATTCATTCTAAGTTTGTTGTGCATTCATTCTAAGTTTGTTGTGCATTCTGTGTTAGTTTGTTCATTCTGTCCCAGTTTGTTGTGCATTCCTAGTGTAATTGTTGTGCATCCATCTCACTTTCTTGGGCAGCGAGTTTTTGTTTTGTCGACCTTTAGATCACTCAAAATGGATGTTCTGGATTAGTCCTCACGTTCTCACCTAAGGATATGTCCTCACCTGATCCAGAACCTATATATATATATATATATATATATATATATATATACTCGTACTGTAGGAATATAATACTAATAATAATAATAATAATAATAATAATAACAACAACAATAACAACAACAACAATAACAACAACAACAACAATAATAATAATAACAATAATAATAATAATAACAGTGATATGCGTGTAGGTGTAACATACAAATATAATTGGGATTACTACATACTTTAGGAACGTATATTTAGGATAATATATTTAGAATAGTAGGAATATACCTAATTATTTATAATACGGGATTAGGAATATATTAGGTTAGGCTCGGAGCACAAGGGGTAAAATTAAGATTAGAAAACAAGAATTTGGGAACTAGGAATAATCTTGAGGAGAATTTAATAAAAATTAGTCTCGGATGCATCTACGACTCTCGTACAGTGCCCAGAAAATATGGGGTATACACTCTATCCCCCTTAAAAGACGCTCTGTCCCCGAAGCATAACCATAAGGCAACAAGGAACAAAGGGAGACTCGACCAATAAGGAATTCCTGAGACTCAAACTTAAATTTAAGTACAATATACCACAAGATCAGATATCACATTCTTCTCTCTTAAGAAATAAAGTTATGTTTCCGTAACTTTCATGCAAACTCATGTAAGCACTTACCAAACTATAAGCAAATCAACTATCAAAATAATCTAACAATCACAATTAAGAAAAGTGAGAACATATTGGCCAAATAAAATCACCAATTGCAAGTTCCAAAATATTTTATCAAATAACAAATATCCAAATAATGCACATTGATCAAATAATTAAACAACAATATGCAAGGTTTCACATCCTCACCGCGCGTCCTAATGTTCTCATATCCTAAGTACTTTAAACACTTAAGGCTTCACTACGTATCTTAAAGTCACGTCATTTAGGCACTATCCTAGTTTCAGCCTAGGTTCTTAAAGTCCAACTCTTAACATCCTAGGCTCAAACTTAAACTCTGATACCAATTGTAACACCCCCGATTTTCAGACATATTTTAAAACAATTAAAGCTTACGAAATAAGAATAACTCTATCATAATACCAAAATAAGCGGAAGCTAAACAAGATAGCTGGGGGTGCTATGCCACATCTAAGCTTGAGAACCTAGATGCACAGGCTACAAACTAACTAATCAAGATCCATAATCATCCGTATACAAAATGGCTCACAGGCCATCCAACTAAAGCTAATTACT